AAACGCCTTTTCGTAAGAAGAGCTCCAAATTTTTCGGAGAAAATTGCCATTTAGGAGAAGGTTTTACTGTTCTTGAATATTCCTAAAATAATTTATCCGGTCTACTATTAGAAAACTGAATTGTAAGAAAAGTTCAAAGTAGCATATTTTAGGCGGCGATAGATGGCATCTGCCAAGAGAATATGTCAAGCTGAATAGCTAGCCGAGACCAAAAGAAATAGGAAACTAACACGGAAAAGTTTGTGCCATTTTGTAGCACCACTAGATACTTTTCCCCTCTTTTGTGGTCCTCTCTTGTGTGTGTGTGTGTGTTTTTTTTTTTGTTTTTTGTTTTTTTTTACTTGAAGAAACCCATTCGATCTGGCCTGTGTCGAAAATCATTAATTTTTTAGGGTACTTTCCATGACACTACATTCCACTACATTTTCAAACTTTTCTCAAATCTGGCTCAAACATTTTTCTTTAATTTTCTTGCAAGAATAGAGTAAAATACACTTATAAACGTGGAATATATCCGTTTTTCAGGATAGTGCAAAATGTACTCTTTAGGATGACATGAACGCCATATTGCTCTATTTTGTTTTTTTCAAAAATTACATCAATATAATTTTTTGACTTGTCCCACGTAATTATTATTTACATAAGTAGCGAATAGTTACCGTTATTGTATTTATTAGTACGTGTGTTTTTAAATTGTCGCATATAGTATCTCGAAAACCCAAAAGTTTTGTGAAAATGAGCTCAAAATGCCGCATTTTCAAAAACGTTCAAACGCCATTTTCTCAAAAATGGCTCCAATTTTTTTCTTCGAACTTTTCGAACGGATAAGGCTAATTACTCTCTAATATGGCATAAAGTTCATTTTGAGGTATTCTTTTGCAGTTTCAAAAATTACATTTTTTTAAAACATCTCTCACGCTGTGCCGCACATTTCCAGCGATTTGTGAAAACTATTATATTTGTGAGTTACAGTGCACTCAAAATCGCTTTAATAAAAATTGCCATTTAGGATGACATTTCACTCTTCTTTAATATTCATAAAGTAAAACTTCGATTCTACTATTAGAAAACCGAAAAACTGAGAAAATTTCAGAAAATGTACTTTGGGCAGCGACAGATAGCAGCTAGCAAGAGTATGATTCAAGTCAGAATATCTAATCCAGGCCAAAGAAAATAGAAAACTAATACGAGAAAATCTGTTGCATTCTGTCGCACCATTAGTTATTTCTTTAAACCAGCCCAACCTTTTGGAATTATATTTGGACGTTAGATAGCATAAAGAACGCTTAAGAAAATGGTGCAGATCTCATGTTCGTTGAAATGCCTGATTTTTCGAAAATTAATTTTTTTTCGGCGCCTTCCCACAACTACAATTGTGAAGATTTAGTTGTTTATTTTTTAATGAAATGCGTTCATCAAAAACAGATCTTTAAATAAGATCATCCTGATTTTTTTGAAAATATGAGTGTTTTTGTGTAATTTGTCGACAAAAATAGTCGCCCGCTCCGAATTTACTCTGCTTCTTGAAAGGTGTAGAGGTAATTCTAGGTAGGCGGATGCTAAGTTAGAATTTGTTTATTATTTCATATTTCTTTGTTTCTTTCATACATTCATGGAGATTTTGTTGTACGTTTACAAATTAATATTTTAAAAATTATTTAAAACCTATTTTAAATTGCGTCCTTTAATTGAATTAAATGTGAAACGAATAGGTGATTTTACTTTGGATAATAAGATGTGAAAATGTGGATAGTGCATGTAAAAACGAGTAATTTTGATGAATATTAAATATATATTTAAATATTACATTTTTCTATCCTTTTTCATTTTCGAACTTGCTCCAACCCATTGTTGTAACGCTGCACTGATAACAGAAGGCGATACTGACGGCCACTTTCCTTCGCGTTAATATGAACTAATAATTTTATTTACGGCCAGCGCCGTCGTGGCTCTGGTGCGAGAGGTGCATTGAACCAGGGCGCAAAAAATTAAATATTTAAAACTTTAAATGAAACAAAACAAAATATGAAATATATATCAATGAGCAATACACTTTTAGTCCTACGAGTTACTAAACTACGTAGAAGTATAAACATACATTCAAAAAGTTTTATTTATTTAGTAAAAAAAAAAAACAGTAAAAAACTGTATGTGACATATGGGGGAGCAAATTATCTGCGCACGTTTTCTTGAATTCCAGAATCCCTTCTCGTCATATTAACTATAAATAGTTGAAGTATGAGTAAAGGTTAAAGATAAATAAATAAAAATTAATTTTAAAAATCACAAGATTAACAATATTTGAAAAAATAGACATTTTCACATTTCATTTCTTCTTTTCTTTCTTTCATGTTTCATATTTCACCAACCACATGAAATAAACAGAGTAATTTATACGGCGGCATTGTTCTGTCCGTCCTTCCGTCAACGCCAAAGCCTAAGCCGTGTAAACGGTTTTCATAAAATCCCGTCACCTATCTTTTCAAAACGTCCGTCAGTTCCGATAGACAGTGATTGCGATAAACTAATAAATTAACCGGGCCATTCCCTAATATCACTGTGATATTATTAATTTTTGCCAGTGGAAACATAATTTTCAAAATTAAAAATTATTTTCTAAAAACTTCCTAAGATCACCCATGTCTCAAGAAATATTAACAGATCTAGTAATGTTACTAAATAAATGTAAAATCTGCAATAATATTTAGTATAATAAAAAAATTGAATGTTTGAAAGTTCGAAAAGAGACTTATTTTATGTTCTACATAGATAATAGTTACTATTTAATAAATCTATAAAAACACGTTAGTAAATACTATTTTAAAAAACTTAACTTTTCTAGCATTTAAAGTATGTAATTAAAGTGGTAATTAAAGGCAAAATGTACTTGCATCAGAGCGACAAATCAGTTGGCGACGGCCCTGTTTACAGCTAAAACACGCATGGTGCATCCTTGGTATATTAAAGTAGAACGTTAATGCACTGAATTTAATGACAGAGAGCTGTTTTCGTTTAAACATTTGAATTTTTTACATCTCGTTTGTTTTAGAATTTTTCAAATGGTGGTTGAAGTTTAAGACATAAATTGTCATATTACATTACCATTAACAATATAGCGAGAAAGTACGTGTTGTTGTATCATCACTAGTTGAGAAAATTTTGGGACTTCATGCAAAGTACTCACAGTAATCAAAATATTCATTTAAAATTCAAGGGGCCACGGCGTAAGTTAGATCGATCGTGTAAAATCAATTGTGATAAAAATACCGCAAGCGATTCAGCGCTAGCTTTGTTTACAGACAGACGCACAGACGTTTTGCCGTCATCCAATTTTCTTGTATCAAGGGCCCATCCATGGTGGAAACAACCACCTTGGGTCCAACAAAAGTGGATTCTCACTGCACCAGACCGTATAGCCGAGACAGTCCCTTTTCTCGAGTCTTTGTCCAGTAATTTTTGAAAGCGAAACGGGACGCCAAAATGTCCCGTTTTTGTGGCAATGACTAATCGGTATATTTAACATTAACACCGTTAACAAATTTTAATTTATCATAATGCATTCTGTTTAATTGGGTTGGCATTATTTTATCAAAAAAGTAACCGCGAGTAGATCGTAAGCTCGTATATATGGTATCAAGAGTGTTTTACCGACTACTGAAATCAAAAGGGAGAGATTCATTGATGGAAAGGAAAATAGCGACATTTGAGCTTGTATATGTTTTATCGCTATTGCTATCGTTACAAATTCAAGATTCCGAACCTTCAAATTCTCGAAATTCATGAAACCGAAACTTCTGCTGAATTTTTCAAAAATCTTGTATTGAATTCCGAGATTGCGTTGCATATATTATACTATCCGCGCACGTTTTCTGGAGCCCTCGCCTCGCTAGTTGCGAGAGTGGGGGAGTTTGTTTATTTTGACAAAATAAATTTTGTATCAAATTTGTACTTCGTTTTTCGAAGCAAAATAGTTTCTATTACACTGAAGTTAACATTTCTGGTTATCATATTTTGTCGACAACGCTCGTTGCTATAATGTATTCTTAATTCAACTAATGTTGGCAAGGGAGTGCGGGCAGGTATTCCGGGGTAAAACGTGCGCGAGTACCACTTATACAGGAAGTAATTTCTACAAATAAATTTTAAATTGCGGACTTATTTTTCTTTTTGTTAATAATGTGTCATTTCCCTTAATGTTTAAAAAGTATAGTTTACTTCACCGTGTAATGTTGCTTTTTGTTAAATGCATGGGTCCTGGTTTGTCCCTTTTTTAGTCAATAAAGAGCCACAAAGACTCATTTTTGGTTTTTAAGATCTGATCACCAAAGGCACCAACAGTTCGAGGAAGTAATTTACTAGGAACAAGATTATCCACCATTTCTTTACCTGATCCCAGCAATAGTTTTTCTGTGTAAACATCCAGCAAATTACTGCCAATTACACCTCTATACTGCATAAGCAGCAAGCGAGATAGAAATCTCTCATAAAATTCATATTATCATACATTCAATTTAGGCCTATATAGTCACTTTACAGTATATAACCGTAACACGGGCGCGGATCCACGAGGAGGGAAATTGCCCCCTAAAATGTTTCAGAAATTATTAATTTTAACTTATCAGGAAACTTTCAAGAAAAAATAATTTGTGATAATTAATACGAATTGAATCGTATCACAGCATGAGCTGAGTGTAACCTACATTTTATAGTATCTGTAATATGACACATTCAACCAAAACATTTTGAATTTCCCCTTCAAAAATTTGTCTCTGGGTCGACATATTTAACAGAAAATTGTGTCTTAAAATAAGTGTTTCGATCTGGGCTCTCCCTTCTACCAAAAACTCCAGATTCAAACAACATATTGTACCAATCAATTAAGTTTAAAATATCTTTTTTTCAATGTTTGCTAATAAAAAAATGTCCTTGGCAAAAAAGGTTATCACCATGAAAGTCGATGCATGCATGAGAATATATAGGCAAGAATGAAATGATTTATAATATTTACAAAAAGATTGAATCACTGTTTTAACAGATATCCTAAAGGCTTATTACTCATTACAGGGATAGCTCTGTTGCAGCCAATAATTGAAGCAGGTTTCTCATGTAAACTCTTGATTCATGGTCCTTAGATTTAACCAAAGTATAAACTTTGTTCTGGTTCCACAACAGTCTGACACATTGAAGATGCTTCATTCAAGATGAATTATTAAGATTTATATACCAAATAGTTTGGGGCATATATTGTTAGACGACAATTTCAGTCTACTGGCAAAATGATGGTTATTGGTGGAGAGGGTATGGGATAGAGAACATTGCAGGTTGATCTGCAGTTTGAGATTGAGTGAATTAGATTGTAGTGTTGTGTGTATTTTGTTGGAAAAGAATCTAACAATGAATAGCATATCATACTTCTACAAAAACAGTTTGTCCTAATTACATTATCAAATGTTAAGTTCTGGTGATGCAATTTTACTTGGGTAAACCCTTACTTCTTTCAAAGGGAGACATTCAAATATTTCACTAGCATCCTTTCACTTCCTCACCCTGAGTGTCTTGCAATAGTTCCCATCGCCGCAGAGCTTCTTTGAGGGGTTTATAAAGCTGTACTCGCTCTGGGGAACCCCATTTGCACACTTGAGCATCTACTTCTGCCCTGGCTTTAGCATCAAGTAAACTCCAACATAGAAAAAGTTCTTTTAAACGAGACACTAGGGAGCAAATTAACCATGAAAGCATGATAAAGTAAATAATTTATAATCCTACCAAACTAAGCATCATTATTTTAAACAATATAAGTATGCAATTAAATTCTTAATTACCTTCAGGAATAAGTGTGAATATGGCTTCACAGATTTGTTCCACATCATTTGCATCAAAGCTAGAATGCAGGTTTTCTACACTATCATCTGAACTATTGTCATCTGATAAACCAGTAACCATTCTCAAATTAATCAACTCTGGTCATGCAATGTAGCATGTTGACAGCCTTCAAGGCTCCTATAGCAACCTTAATTCTCAACAAACCCAATTTGTTAGTTGCCTTTCTGCAAGCAATTGTCAACCATTGTTTGGACATTCTTAGAAACAAGGATGTATGCTCTAGCAAATGGAACTTAATCAGCATAGGAATACAAAGTTGTTAAGTAGGGTTCTTTCCATATCAGGAATATTTAAATGAAAATTTAAAGAAAAAACGAATCAAATCTTTTCAACTTTTTTATTTACATCAACATTTCTTATTGTAGAAAATTTTACTTTTTGGCTGCTGCCTTCTCCTTCGGTTTCTGTGGTGTTTTACCAGTAGGTTTGCTAGCACTGTCAGAAGGCTTCTTTTGCATGGGTGGAAATAAGGCTGGTCTTGCAAGAGTCCTCTTGAAAACTGCTGTAATTCCCTTGGCAGCCCATCTTGCCTTGATAACTGCTCGTGCCTTTGCTCTGGCTATTGCCTTCTTTTTGGCACTCTCTCTCATCTGTTCCGTCTTCTTTGCCTAAAGAAAGGATACATTTTAGAAACTCGCATACCTAACAAATCTTATTTCATACCATTGTACAAAACAAAGTAAATGCGATAATGCATGAGAAAAATATATAAATTACATACCTTCTTCATACCATACAATGCATGCTTCCGGTAGGCAAACTTCCTTAATACAAAGAATTCATTTGAACGAATCCTATTTCTCACAGATACAGCTTTCCTTAGCTTAAATCTATCAAAATCCGTCATTGCCAAACGCTGAAATCAACAAATATAATGATTAATCTTAAGAGAATGGTTCAATACCAAAACAAAAAACATTCTTTCAAAAATGTGTGTTGATTCATACTTCAGCATTAAGATACTAAATAAAATCTATTTACCTTCCTCTTGTTCACTAAGCTTTTTGCCCAGCTACTCTTTTCCCATTGTTCTTGAATTTTAGCATCTTTCCATGCTTTTCGGACAGTTGCAGTTCTACAACCACGAGGGAATTTCAAACAGAACTTCGTCAAGTTGATTTGATTAATGCGGACCGCTTGTCTTTCCACTCCAGTTAATGGTCCATCCACCAAAACCTAAGGAAAAAACTTGTTAGATTTCAATCATGACAAATCAATTATGATAATATAATTGATATATATCAGATGTAATTGGCTTCATGTATCGATCAGTCGGCCATTCCTATCAATGTCAAGGTTCATCACGTTTGGAAGTTTTCAGTAAGTAACAATTTTTTAAGGCAAAACCAAACTACTTGAAAACTAGTCTGGTAAACTCAAATTAAATTAGCTACTACATCATTTCAAAATACTACAATTGCCCTTTCACTTTAAAGCAGCATGAAATACAAATGAAATAAAACAAATACTTATCCTACAGTATAATTTTAAGGTACACATTCAATTGCATATTTACCCGGGTCTGATCAATGACATCCACAATGGTGCACAGCTTGCCTTTCTTGGGCCCATTTACTATGAAAGCAATGCGCCCTGCTTCCACAAACCTTTTGAACGACTGAAACAAACCAAATAATTTTCCATGGTAGTAATGAGTCTAATTTGAAAACAAACCAGATTTACAATTTTTTTGATATATTTTCCTCTGCATCAAATTATGTATGCCCTTAGCCCTTCACTACCTACCAGAAAAATAACTCAAATATTAAAACCTAAATCTAACGCCGTAATAAGAGTACGTATCACTATGGGGGACCATTCATACTCTTGTATGTTCACTACATTTCACCTACAATACACTTGCACAAGTAAAACTTAACGACTTCAACGCACTGTTTACCAAACAGAAATTCAGTGTCATCAAAGCCAGAAAATAATCAGGGCAGATGATATACAACGAAGAAATGTATTACAAATTCACTACAAACAAGAATAAACCGGCCATGTGGTAAACGTATGCTAGGTTCTTTATCAGATTAATGAAACAAATGTGAAGGGGTTATTCAGAAAATGATTTATACGGCGACATAAATGTACACATATTCACTTAATATTAAATTTTCATGCCGCAAACTTTCTTAAACTTCTAAATAACACAAATTCAATTTCGGGCAAACACAACTCACCATCTTGGTGTCGACAGAAAGACTTCCGATTCCTGAACTGAACGAAAGTGAACTACTTAAGTCGCAACCTTTCGTTGTAATACAAATTTGATGGAGGATAGAACTCTGATTTATTCAAAATAAGATGAAAAAATTAAAATATTGTATTTAATTTACTGATAATTTTAAAAGATATGAAATGCAAATTCGAAAGTTATATAAATATATATGTATGTATGACTTCGTATGTGAAAATCGAGAGTTCTTTCGATGATTTCAAAAAATCGACAACTAAGCATCTGCGTATATCAGCGCCCTCTGTATTGTAGAGGGCGTTGCTGATACCGAGTATAATATAATATACTGTGGTCGCCTGCGTCGCCTTGCTGTCATTTCCTTGACTCGCGTAGACTTGGTCGTCTTGGTTATTATATTTTCGTCGTCCTGTCATCTAACTATTTGTAATGAGGCGTTCTTGATAAATTGTATCATTGTTGCATCACATTTTATCAGTTTCGCCAATCGTGCTATTTACCCTTCAGCGTTAAAATATCTATCGTATATTTTTGTGGCAGGGTATTGGAACCAAATGACGAGCATTTATTCTATGGGAGTATAAAAATTGTATCCGACACAATTTACTATTCAGCACGAATTCTTTGGTTCAATTTTTCACTGTTGGAAATTGAGTTTTAAGTACTTTTTTTTGTGAAAACATCTGGCACGTAAGTATGGAGAAAATACTCGCGTTATTCCTCGTTATTGTAATGTGATGATTAATTTTCCATTGTTTCACCAGGAATGAATAATAATGGATGAGAAGGATTTGTTGAAGGAAATAACGTTCCTTACTCGTGAGTAATAAACGTGTCTTATTTCAGTGCTTGAAGGAGAGGAGGAAAGATTTTTATTTTGTTTAGCTAAATGTAGAGCAATTCTAATTTTATCTGCTTTGTTTCAGAATGACTGAATATATTATACTCTTGTATTCTCAAACTCATACCTACACAATTTATAAAGCACTAATATTTTGTTATAAATATAACATGGCAGTGTGTGGACCGCCTATCATTTTTTATGA